CACTCACCTCAAAACAGAATAGCAGCTCTTCACTGAGCACGAGGGTTGGAGGTGCATTCCTGATAATACAGGGGCCCATCTCTCCTTGTGTTGCCGGTAGAAGTCATCCAGTCATAAACATTGCATTGGAAATAAATGGGAATACTTTAGTTCATTAGCTGCAATATAGTCCTTTAGATCTTCATTTTAGAAGAGTAATTACTCCGGGGTGTGCTAGATTAAAGCCACAGCATTTCCTAGTTCAGGAATACTGTCATTGTCATTTTCACCATGACACTGTGTTGGTGGTAGAGTTGGTGGTAGTCATATGTGCCAGGTCTGCTGGTGCCTTTTTTCCCCTAGCTTGACTCAGTGTCACCAAAAAAACATAACATCTAGCCCAAATGACTTGTCAATAATAATTTCCACACAAACATATAAAAGGTATTCCATGGTATATATATATATATATATATTTTTAAGTGCCTTTTTTTGTATTTTCTTGTGATATTTCTTAACATCTACCAGGCAATGGTGACATGCTCATGCCAGAACAACAAATCCCCAAACTCTGCTATCCCCAGGATGGAAATAACAAGGATGGCAGTCCCTACATTTTAGCTCTCGGGCTCATTATAGATGGAGAGTAAGTAAATATGAACAGTGTGTGGCACACAGTGTGTAATGTTTGGGGCTGGCCCACAGGAACTGGCATTTGAGTGTGGTGGGCAGTAAAAACCAAACCAGAGAAAGGGGCAAGAAAATACAGGCTGTGCTGAGGGGACATGAGTCCACCACTTTGCATGGTCCTATGTGCCTGTATAGACCAGGAGCAGTGGGAGAAATTGCTAGAAAGACAGGTGGGAGCCTGGCTGCACAGAGCCTTGGGTGGCAGGCAGGGAGGCCAGCCTTCATCCAGGAATCAGAGGGAGCTGCCGGAGACAGCCAGTAACACGATGAGAGCCACATGCTGAGGCTTCTAGAAGGAATGTGCTGAAAATGTTCCACTTAAAAGCTAAATTGAATATGAAGGAAAACTGGAAATAGGGTGACTGACCATCCAGTCATATAAATTGCCTTTTATTGACAGATAAAATTCATCTAAAGCACAACTACCTTCCTCCTGAATATAAATATCCCACATGAATCAAATCAAGAGGCAAAGAGTAATAGAATTGCTACTGTTCTGAGAGACAGGAAGTAAGGTAGCACAATAAACCCTCACTCTTTGTCACTTCTGAATCCTAAAATGCATACATCCCACCACAGCATGTAATTCTTACCTTAAGATGCAGAGAAACAGGCCGTCATTGGAGCAGCCACCCATGCAGCAGCAAGTTGCGAGTCATAATGCCACTTGGAGATGTGTCTGTGGAGTCCTCAGCTGTGCCCACCTGCTGCGGGCCACCCATCACCTGCTTGGTGTAGCGCAAGCCACTCACTCTGTGCCTCAACTAAATGACGCCCAAAATTCTTGTCATGGAGTCCCTTTAAAGTCATCCTTTAAAACAACAACAAAACACCTTTCTCTAAAGTGAGTTTCAAGTAAGCCTAATTCTTTTGCTTTGACCTCACATGACACCCAGACTGCCCTCCCATCACAACGGATAAAAATCCCTGGCCTCATATTCTTGTTTGACTGACATCCCATCTCCTAAGAGTAAGAATCAGGTATGTCTGTGTCTGTCTCTCTCTCTCTTACACTCTCTCTCTCTCTCTCTCTGTCACACACACACACACACACACATTAGTTTTTTAACTCCTTTTAAGAGTCATGCGGCCACCCAAAAGCTTTCTGTGTCTCAAATTCTGTCTGGAGCATCAACTGTAAACACTCCCAGTTGGCCCTGACTGCCTCCTCACCAGGCCGTGTAGCTTAGAAATGCTTCTTTTCACTACCACTGTCTCCTCACCATTGTGGGAAACTTACTGGAAAGCCCTCAGGAGTTCCTAGTTATGAAGGTGGCAGAACCAGCTCTAAGTGACCTTGGGTACTTAGGGTTGGTTATAAGAACAGGAAGAGGGGAGTTACTTTAGGTCAAATTCAACTGCAAGTGGCTTTTCTGAGTTTATAGACCTAAGTCAGCCAACTATTGTAAATTAAAATACATATTGTAATTGACATCTGAGCATATTATAATTGACATCCCAGGTAAGTGGTCCCTAATGAAATGTTATATTTAATGGCTAATTCCAAAATTTTGAAAATGCTAAATTGAATCCAGCATTAACCATGTTTTCTTCATGTTCCACTCTAAGCCAATATTGGGAAATGACTATTTTAAAATTAAAAAGTTAACTGACAGAGTCCTTATCATCTCACATTTTCCATTAGAACCAAGCACATCTATAATAAAGTGACACCCATCCACCCTAAATTCTGTGGATATTCCCTAAGAAAGAAAAGAAACACATGGCTACTGTGCAGTTCACTAACAAGACGGAAGGAAGATGAACCAGAGCCAGAAAGCGGGTGGCCCAGCCTGAGCTTCGGTAACCTGCTTGGTTCTCAGCCTCTTAAGAAAAGACCCAGCCGGACACAGTGGCCCACACCTCTAATCCCAGCACTTTGGGAGGCCAGGGCAGGTTGATCACCTGAGGTCAGGAATTCGAGACCAGCCTGGCCAGCATGGTGAAACCCTTTCTCTACTAAAACTACAAAATTAGCCAGGTGTGGTGGCACATGCCTGTGCTCCCAGCTACTTGGGAGGCTGAGGCAGGGGAATTGCTTGAACCTGGGAGGTGGAGGTTGCAATGACCCGAGATCACGCCATTGCACTCCAGCCTGGGCAACAAGAGTGAAACTCTGTCTCAAAAAAAGAAGACCCCAGAATAGGGCAAGAGTCTTTCCTGGGCCAGCCCAACTAAGCATTCCTGTCACGTCATTATCCAAACCTCGTTTCCTCCTGGGTGTCCTTTCTGCAGTCATCCACCACCTTTTTAAAAACTTACAAGTGGAAAGCCTGCATCTATTGGGGAAGAAATCTGCTGTTCCAAATATTTTATTTTAATCTAAAGAGCTTCTCCAGATGAAACCATCCTTCTCACCAACCCAGTGGATCCCAGTAACCAGGGCTGTGGGTCCTGCAGGTAGGAACAGTGATCCCAAGTCCCAGGAAGAAATGCAGGTGATAAGACTTTTAAAATTGCTTCCGTTGCATTTAGAATTGGGTTTACTGGGCTACCCATAGCTATGGGTCTTTTCTTAATGGCTGCTTTCCTCTGGCAAGTGAATCAGGCCTGGGATGTCAGGTAGAGGTCCCGGGTACAGTGCAGATACTAGGAGATGCAGTGTGATAACATGAACCCATTTCATTCAGCTTAAGCAAACTCACTACCAAAGCTCATAGGAGCTTGCCGTTTTCATTGTCTTATCCCAGAGTTGCTTGGCCAGAAAGGAATTGAAAGTGAAAGTGAAAGATTTGGTGAGAACATGGCTTAAAAGTAGACTGGGAGGGCATTTCAAAGCACAGTGTTTTTGGCAGAGTCAGAATAGGCTCTATTAATATTTTTACCTCTGTAACTTAGGGTAGACTAGCAGAGCCAGGTATAAACTGCCCCCTGCTGCCTGACATAGAGAAGTACATGAAAAATGTTTTCCTCATGAGTAATTATAGTCTGAAATGCCTGTAAGGAATGGAAAGCAAATTAAGGGAATGGCAGGCGGTCTCAGAGAAGCTGTGGACATCACGGGTCAGCTAGATCCTCTCCAGTGTGAAGATGAAGGAAAGGTGAGAGAGCTGGAAACAGCACTTATAAAAAGTAGTCTTTGGATTTAGAGAGCCTCTTACTACTCCTTCTGCAGCCTTGCTTGTCAGAGTGTGGACTATGGTCCAGTAACATCAGTATAACCTAGGAGCTTCTTAGAAATGCAGATTCACAGGCCCCACCCTGGATCAATGGAATCAAAGTCTGCATTTTAAACAATATCCCCAGGTGATAACACATGTTACATTTAAGAAGCCCTTGCTGGTTGCGATGTCTTATGCCTGTAATCCCAGTACTTTGGGAGGCCCAGGCAAGTGGATCACTTGAGGTCAGATGTTCAAGATCAGCCTGGCCAACAGGGTGAAACCCTGTCTCTACTAAAAATATAAAAATTAGCTGAGCATGGTGGCAGGCACCTGTAATCCCAGCTACTCAGGAGGCTGAGGCAGGAGAATCGCTTGAACCCGGGAAGCAGAGGTTGCAGTGAGCTGAGATTGTGCCACTGCATCCCAGCCTGGGCGACGGAGTGAGACACAGTCTTGAAAAAAAAAAAAAAAAGAAGAAGAAGCCCTGACCAGGCACAGTGGCTCATGCCTGTAATCCTGACGCTTTGGGAAGCAGCCTAAGCAACATGGTGAAACTTCATCTCTACTAAAAATACAAAAAATTAGGTATACTGGTGCACACCTGTGGTCCCAGCTGCTCGGGAGGCTGAGGCAGGAGGATCACCTGAGCCCAGGAAGCAAACAGTACAGTGAGCTGAGCCAAGATTGTGCCACTGCACTCCAACCTGGGTGACAAAGTAAAACTCCATCTCAAAAAAAAAAAAGCCCTGAACATGACTTCAGAAGGAGCTTTAGCCCTGGACCAGCTCCAGGGTTCGCTGAGGTTTGGATCAAATTGAATTCAGCCAATAGAAGAGATGAAGCCTCAAATTAAGATTGTGAATGCCTTATGTTCTTATTTTCTAAATACTTCTTTTTTATCCATCCTCATAGTAGCTCTTTAACCACAGATACTTTAACTTGCTGTATTTTATATTACTTGCTATATTTCAGCAGCATCCAGCACTTGCCAAGCAGTTTCTTTCAAAAATCATTCTGTTCCAGCAAGTGGGTGACAGGCTCCTGATTTGCTCTCTGGCAGCCTCTGTGCTTCCCATTATTCTTGTTTACTTCAATCTTCTCTCTGCCATGCTTCCACCCTGCTGTTACTGTTTAAGAGTAGCAACTTGAGCAAGTCTGCAGGATCGAGCTGGCCCCCAGTTGCATTGTCAGTCTGTTGCTAACCTGGAGTGTTCTTTTCTGCGCCAGGTCAGAGAAGAATGCCGGCTCCTGAACGCCCCACCTGTTCCGCCCCGAAGTGCAAAGCCTTTGTCCACCAGTCCCTCCATCCCACCTCGCACAGTCAAGCCAGCGCGGCAACAGACTCGCTCTCCCAGCCCCACCTTGTCCTACTATTCTTCAGGGCTGCACAGCATGTAAGTCTTCTTGCCAGGTCCCACTGCACCCTTATCTTCTCATCTGCCAGTTCATGGGTCCTTGAGAGCACTTTCAGGGTAGCTATAACTGAGACAGGGTGGTGGGAGAGGAAATGGCTTTTTAATTTGTTAAATAATTGTACTGGGTGAGCATGATCGGGCCTCTGTTGGTTTTGAGCTAGGATTGAAGAGCAAATGTCTTGGGAAGAAAAGATGTCACATGAATCAGAGAAATTCAGAGGTAAAGGCCAACTAGATTGTCCCTGAAACAACCTGAGCGCTGCCATCAGTTCTCACAAATCAACATCTAGTTCTTTCTGCTTTGACTTTGACACAAGCAGACAGCACGTTTGACCAAGACCTAAAATGGAAAGGGTCCCCTTGGCTATCTACTCTGAATTTCCATCCAGACAGGAGTCCCCTTTTGACCATCACTGTTGGGTGGTCATTTTCTCCTGTCCCGATACTTCCAGTGCTCTAAGCTCCTTCTTCTGCAATACGGCTCATTCCATTGTTGGCAACTACCAATTCTTCTTTTAAAAATAAAACCTTTATTATATTGAGTTGAAATCTATCTCTATGTAACTTTCAATCATTTCTTACATCTAAAGAAACAAAAATAGGTCCATCCCATATCTCTTTGTCGACTCATGAAAGTTCCGAGTCGGCTTTGATATGTCTTCTCTTCTCTGAAAGAAACATCCTCGCCTCCCTCTGCTGTTCCCCCGACATCACTGTCAGATCCCTCACCGGCCTGCTCACCCGCCTTTGAGCACACTCTAGTTTCATGTTGCTCTTAAAACGTAGCCCCCCAGAGCTGAATCCACCGCTACACATGTGCTCATTACAGTTTAAAGTAGCTCTCTTTGGAGGTATTTTTTCCCTGGACATTTAAATCCTTGTGCTAATGTTACTTGATTGTTCAGAAACAATCTAAGGCAAGGATAAGCATTTTGTTGGATGCATTTCCTCCTACCTCAGACTTTTGGATGGAAATCGAGTCACGGGTGGTGTGATGCCATCATGTCACTGTAACACAAGCATGACAAGCGTGCGGACCCATTTACTATTCTCTTACTCTACCCTTGCTCGCTGCAGACATCATTCATCAATTATGGCACCTGTTGGTGCAAAGCCCACACATGACTTAAGAATTTCCCTCATCATAAAGATTCAGGCACCTATTAACAATGATTTCCTTACTAGCTGAAATATTTATTCTATCTCCACTGTAGCATGTTAAATCATTATGTACATATCCACAATTACCAATGTATTTTATTAAAGGTCCTTTTTTAAAAAACCTCAGTGAAGTTAGAAGGTACTTTATTGAATTCATGTTAAGAAATGCTGTTTTTTTTTTTTTCTGACTGCACTTTTCTACTCAGCAGTAACATCTATAAATAATGAAAGCCTTGGGATTTGGCTTTTTTCTTTTAAAGATTTCTCTTTCTGTGTTTTACTTTTAAGCAGCGTCACTAAAACTGACACAAGTCCTTGTGAAAGCGCTCCTGTTTCCTGCTATCCATGTAACCGAGTGAAAACTGATTCTGTGGACCTGAAATCCCCGTTTGGAAGTCCTTCTGCTGAAGCTGTGTCCTCTCGGCTCTCATGGCCTAACCATTATTCAGGAGCCTCAGAGAGCCAGACCAGGAGCGACTTCCTGCTGGATCCAAGCAGGAGTTACAGTTATCCCAGACAAAAGACGCCAGGCACACCAAAGAGAAACTGCCCAGCACCTTTTGATTTTGATGGCTGTGAGCTCTTGGCCAGCCCCCCTAGCTCAGCCACTGTAGACTTCAGTAGCAGCGTCTCTGGTTGTCCCAAGTCAGCCAGCTACTCTCTGGAGAGCACAGACATGAAAACTCTTGCAGCTGGTGTGACAAAGCAGAGTACTTCATGCCCTGCCTTACCACCCAGGGCCCCAAAACTAGTGGAAGAGAAGGCTGCCTCCGAAATATCTCCTTTGCCTCTGAAAATTGATGGTGCTGAGGAAGACCCCAAGTCTGGGTCACCAGATCTCTCTGAGAACCAGTATTTTGTTAAAAAGGGCATGCCGGACACCTTCTCTGCCTCCTACCCTTTCTCATCTCCGCTCCACCTCCAGCTGGCCCCCCGATCCTGTGGCGATGGTTCCCCATGGCAGCCACCTGCTGACCTATCAGGACTCTCCATAGAGGAAGTATCCAAGTCACTACGGTTCATTGGTTTGTCCGAAGATGTCATATCATTCTTTGTTACCGAAAAGATTGATGGGAACCTGCTTGTTCAGCTAACAGAAGAAATCCTCTCAGAGGATTTCAAACTGAGCAAACTTCAGGTGAAGAAGATAATGCAATTCATTAATGGCTGGAGGCCCAAAATATAGCCAAATAACTCCAGCCAGCATGGAACAAAACTGATCAATGCGTGTGCTAGAAGGGGTGGGCTGGGACACAATTTCATGTTTTTGCACTAAAAACCTTCTCTGTAAATAGGGATAAGAGAAACTCTTACTATGCAGATTATGTTTTTGAATGGTGAACAGGCTATTTTGTACATCAATAAAAATGCTGTACAGAACACTTGGAGGTGTGCCTTGTACGTCACTCAACAAACACTCAGCAGCTGCTAAAAGGAAAAAAGGCATATGCAGAGAAATCATTCTTACCCAAGTAGGTTTATGCGAGAAGGTATGATATTTATTACAAAATAGCCAAAGCTGAAAGACATAAAAATCTTAAAACAAAAAAAAAAAGCTTTTGAACAACAATTCCCTTCTTTCAGGAGGGTTGACTTTAGACGATTAACTATGTTCTGTGCTCTGTCATTCGGATTGCTTCATGCTAATTGTTTTACTCTTGTGCCTGAAAATGTTAATGATATGAATTGACACTTTAATGTTATATGCTTGGTGGGGATCTTTTTATCACAAGGCATTTTCCAAAAGTCATGTGTTGATAAAGGGATATATGTTGTCCTTAGAAATCACACAAATCATGACCACAATAATTTATCTGTAACTGCTGCTAATTTTATTGAGCAGAGAAAAAAGAATATACATATATAAATGTGTATAGTTGTATACACAACACACCCATATATGTTTTAAACATAATTTTGATTATGATATTTAGATAACATCTGTTCACTTTTAAATAATACGTTGAGGTTTTGGGACTGTTAACTACATTGATTCTCTTAGGAATAGTGGACGGAATGACTCCAAAGATTCTCAGAACCCTGTCACTTGAAGCTCAGTCTTATTTGGGTTCACTGAAAACTTAGAACAAATCAGTAAAGAGTCCTGTATTGAAGAATTCAGTTTGAGTTTAAGCCCACTGCAAGGCTGGTTTTTGCATGTAATACTCCCATGACATCTGGGGAAATGACAGTTTCTGTTGAATTCTAATTCTCGGGTTTGAGGGTCTCTTTCCCCTGGTGTCTGATGGCGAGAAGTCTGAAGAACATTTGTCAGAGCACATTAGGTTTCTCAACCTGCTTCATGCTTTACGAGAGCTCAGAAATCAGACACACCAGGCTTTATTGTGTATGCTACATATGTTGAGTATTTTTTAAATACCAATAAGAGGACTTGTTTATTTCATCAACCACTTCTTCCCTCTCTTTCAAAGAAAATACATTTTTACCATACTTTTATTCCAAGAATTCCAGGACATTAGTCTGAGAATTTTTGCTAAATATGATTAAATATTCCAAAATATAATGGCGTCATCATTATTCTTGACATTTTTAGAGAATATATCGTAGGACTGTGTTCTTGGAGCAAGGTATCATCTACTCTCCCACACCCCAGAGTCTGGCCCCAGATTCCAGGTGTGTGAATGGCAAATGACTGAGGTGCACACAGTGCCCTCTGGAATAGGGGGTCAGCCAGCGAGGCGTCAGCATGACTTGCAGGATGGGCCTATATGTTACCATCTCCTATTCCTGCTACCAAAATGAAAAAAAAAAAAAATTGAAAGACAAGACCCACCACTCTAGTTTTATAGACCTGTGAAACGTATCTTTATTTCTTTATTAAAAATATCTTGGAAAGATATTTTTAATCCATATCATGGTTTGGAGTTGAGGTGAATTGATAACCTATTCTAATTTTCCATCTTAGATCTCCTTTATCAAAAGAAAGAGCATTTTTTTCTCCTATCAATGTAAATCTCCCAAAATGTAAATACTGTAGGTAAAAAGAGTACCCTGTAAACTTCTCATACTGGAGCACCTCATCAAAAGTCACTGACAAGCCGATGAGGAACTGTCTGGTACCGCACTCATAGGACATGAGACCCATGAGACTTTCGTGTTCTGAGAGCATCCTTCTGTGTGAGGAGGACTGCCTCCCTTAGTAAAGTAAACCTCTCAGAACTTCTTTTTAAAATAAAAACATACAAGACGCAGTTGCAAAGCTGCAAGCATTCCTTGACAAACCTAGCTGAATCCATCCATTTTAAAACACTTAACACTCATACACAATTCTCAAATTCAGGAAGAAGGAACAGGGTTGGCTTGGGTTTACTATAAAGGTTGCCCACGTAAACAACTGACTCCTTATGGCGTTTTTTTTTCTTTTGTAAAAACTTTACACAAAATAGGGTTTTAAATACTTTTTGTTTTGAACTTGGCATATTTTTGTCAAATTTATATTGATTGGCAGTGTGGAGACTCCTTGAAAGCAAGGACTGTGGCCTTTGATTCACTTAGCATGAAACATTCTAATATCACTCTACACTGTTGAATAAAAGACACAGCCCCTGCCCTCTTAGAGATCATATTGTTTATATTTGAAATCTCAGTTGCTAAGACTATGTATTTGGGGGCAAGAAAGACATGAACTCTCTGGGCAGCTGGGTATATGGAGAGTTATGTGTGTCCTGTCTTTAAAATGTTAACCTCCAGTAAGAGGTACAAAAGTAACACCCCAAGATCACTAAAACTTGGAACGTGTGGGACACAAAGTATCTCTCTCACTGCCTAGTGGTGGTGGTGGTGTTTTACTGACTTGGAATTCTTTTAATTGTAATAAATGTCTTCTGTCATCTTTAAAAGCCACAAATAAATGCAATTGCCATTCCTAAGCTGAGTACCTGTCTGTGAAGGACCTTGGCACTCTGACTAGATAAAGCATTCATAGCTCCAAGAGAATCATAACAAGATATGCAAGCAGGGGTAATAAGGAGGCAGCCCTTCCATTTCGAGAGCTGCGATTCTACAGTGAAAAGCAATGCCCAGAGATCCACACACAGAACTTTCTAACCAACCAAGTCAAGACTTACCATCTTATCTCCTCTGGCAGTTCCCCTATAATCAAACAAGAGGAAGTGTCTGTCTAAACAAGACCCTTTTGGGTCCTTAGATTCATGGCGAAAATCATCGTGGCCCCCATCAGAAAAGAAAATCAGCAATAAACCAAGCCAAGCAGCTAAAATGTATAATGTGGACCTAATTGATGTTGGGAGGCAGAATTCAAACACTCACATATTAATCTTGCAAGTTTTCTCTTCTTTAAGTTGAGCTGCTAAACCTTATAAACTGTGAAATTTACTTACATTCTTTCAACCAACATATATCACTCCAGTTTATGAAGTTGCAGCGAACTGCCCATTCAGCTACATTGCAGTGTTTATTCTTGCCTCGTGTCAAAATTCAACAATCTTATGGGAAATATTATGACAGTCCATTCCAACTGTTTTCAGACACATGCAAAAACAGCCTCTGCTCACATTCCACAGCCACCTGCATGTTATCCATATAGCTCCCTGAGAAGTCGAGGGGTGGGGGGTGGGGTATGGAAGGATAGAGGGTCCTTCATTTTCTAAATACTTTGTATAAATCACTATTCGTCGTGCCTAGCAAATATAAAATTAACATTTTGAATAATAAACGGGAAAACAGTCCTCCAAAGAACCTAGTGAACTGTTAAAAGGAAATTTTAGTTTCAGTCTACCAGGAAAGTTAAATGTGTTGTTGGACATAGGGGGCTTTCAGAAACATGCCTCTTATATCAATTTCCACCATCTTTCAAGTTACCTAAAGGCATCAGGCTGCTTGAGCAAGAAGAATAAAAGGCCTAGAGTGCAAATTACGGGAAGTAGAGCTTTTAGATTGTGGGATTTTAATATGGGATTCTCATGGTCACATCATGTTAAATCACATTGTTTAGTCTTCAAAACTTAGTGTTTTAAAATTTGTCTCATTGTGATAGCCAGGAACAAGGAATAAACATGATTTCAGTTTAAACTATATACAAATATCTTCTGTAATTTTGCTGCTCTAATTTTTAGGCTATAAATTTTGTAATAGAGCTTATCAGATTGCAAATTTCCTTTGTTTACAATCTCATATAGTAGGGCTCAGATAATTTCTTAGCTATAAACCTTCTCTCCCACTCATATTAAGTTTCATTTAAAATATTTAAGCTAAGCCTAAAAATTGAATTCAATTAAGAATTTCGAGAGTTTATCTTAAATGGAAATGGTGTATTCAAAGAATTTTGTAGTCATCTTTACAGTTTCTTTGCTTGGCAAATTTGGGTTGTTAGCTACCAGTTAACAGTTGCAGTACTTTCCAGAACATTATCTAATGGGCCCAGTGTGTACCTCAAGATAAACACAATATGTTATGTCTAAAAATTTCATTGTCTGTTGATTTAAATGGTTCTGAAATGTCTATAATAAAGAAATTTTCAAAGTTGTTTTTCTTGCAGTTGTTCGTCAGTGGTCAGACCTAGTGCATAGTTTTCTAAGGATTTGTTTCCCATCCTCATTAAGCAGTAGGGAATTTGGAGGGAGTCCCAATACTTGCAAGCCCATTCTGTATTAATAAGAGATGGAAGACTATGGTATTGTGCATGGTCAGAAGATGCAGGTACCCAGGTAACTTGATGGCATACAAAGAGGATCCAGCACCTGTGTGGTCAGGAGATAGAGCAAAAGATGAAATAGATGAAGTGGAAAGCTAAAAAAAAGAAAAAAAAACTGGTCCAAAGATAGTCGTCTCAATTGATTGTTCACAGTCAGTTACAGATCAACTCTTCATTCTACTCTTTTCCCCACTCTCACTACTGCACTTCACTAATCTTAAAAAATAAATAAATAAAAGCATGCCTTTGAATGGGGAAAAGAAAGAATACAAATTCATATCATTTGGCTTACATACAATTTAACTTATGTAACTAGCATAAATAGCAGAGATGACTGAGGTTACTAAAGAAAAGTTGAGCATTCAATATGCTGCAGGATCCACTGGGAAGTGTTATACAGAAGCTGGAGAATTGCAAGTGAAGTTTGATTAAGAGAACTTTAACTGTAATCAAAATAGCATGAAATAGTTTCCCAATATGTTATGCCCAAATCTTTGTTTTACTAGACTAAAAGCATTCCCAAATCATTTATTCCATCTTATACTTAAGCCTTCAACCCTCCTTTCCTGTTTCACAGGGATAAAACCTGTGACTAACCCCATACGTGGCCACTTTATTGGATGTCAAGAATGTGTGCTAGAAGAACCTGTAGGCTTGACTTAGGTTGGCTGAAACTTCCCGAGATTTATCTCAAGATTTTTAATATATTTCATCAAGTAATACACACTAGAACATTTGACTCTCAAAATTAGATTTTGCAAAGTAAATTTGAGTTTAGAAATAAGTTAGAATCAGGTGTCCTCCGATTCCTTATATATCTGAAGTTAGAAAAAGCCAAATCATTGAAAACAGTGCTGATTCAATTCTTATTACACTGAAATGAATAAAAGATGTGCTCAGCCCCTTCTTGCTTAGATGATTCATGCACATCCTTCAGGATTTACCAAGTCTCGTCTCCAAGCTGATTAAATTTCACTCCTTTGCACTGACATAGCTCTCTGTGCATATCTCTGTTCCCTGGAAACCTATAAGCTCCCTGATATCAAGGCTTATGTCTTCATTGTTGTATCATCAGAAGTAGGTACTATTTGAGGTTCTGTTGAATGACTGTGAAAGTCACATTCCTGATGGCGGCCAGTCTTTGTGCCATCAAGGTCAAGACTGCAGTCACGTGACAACATAACAAAGTAAGGTCAAATGAGTGATGTCAATGAAGTTTGTATCATAAAATATCTGAGTGCCTAAAAATGGACAAAATAAAAACTTGTCTAGAAATTCCAGGTTGAGTTTGTATCGCTTGCCAATGAATACATTTTTTTTAGTTTATTTAATTCAATGACTTCCATTTTTTAATGGCTTAAAAAAAAAGAAATAAAAAAAAAGGATGTGTTCCCATAGATTGACTCAAATACTATCTCTAAAAAACACATGCAATTGAAAAGTAATAGATATGGTTGAATAACCTAAGCTAAGAGCGATCTCAGGATCAGAGGCAGTGATGGGTTAAGATAAGAAACAGGCCAGGCATGTTGGCACATGCCTGTACTCCCAGCACTTTGGGAAGCCAAGGCGGGTGGATCACCTGAGGTCAGGAGTTCGAGACCAGCCTGACCAACACAGAGAAACCCTGTCTCTATTAAAAATACAAAATTAGTCGGGCATGGTAGCACATGCCTGTAATCCCAGTTACTCAGGAGTCTTGAGGTGTGGTTTCAATTCTCCTGAATCGCTTGAACCCAGGAGGCAGAGGTGCGGTTAGGCCAAGATTGAGCCATTTCACTCCAGCCTGGGCAACAAGAGCAAAACTCCGTCTCAAAAAAAAAAAAAAAAAAGTAAACAGATTCTATGTGCTCAGAAACACATGACCAGGAGACATGGTGCCAGGCATGGAAAATACCATCTGTAGGCAGATCATAGAAGTTTAGGGACAATGGGGACCTTGGAAATGATCTGATCCCTCCTCTTTATAGGAATGAAACCCATGGAGGATAAGTGACAGGCCCTGGACCTCATACGGGTCATGAAAGAACCAAGGCTAGGAATAAAATCTCCCGGTTCCCTGTTTTGTATTCCTTCCATTACAACACTGTTTCCCAGTTTCCTCAGCTTTTAACTTTCAAAAATAACTTGATTATGATTATTATTTTAGCGCATGGAATGCCCTACTCTGGTCCTCCAACTTCTCTAAGACCAAAAAACAGGACAGTTCTCAGCTGATACTCCTCAGTCAGTGTCTGTTGGAAATCAAAAGAAACCTATGTATGAAATAGTTCTGGGTACATCTTCTGCTCTTTGATAACACGGATCACTCAGTGGAGACAGTAAATAAGATGAATGGGACAGAAAATGTAAAAGATTCACAGACAGCACACAGACATTTCATCCTACTATATATATCCAGGCTAGCTGCTAGGAGGAGTTTACAAACGGTGGCATCTAGAAGAAAAGCAGCTCTGTAATACTAAATATGACCACAAGGTGTGGAGCTTTTCCACCCAGCCAATGACTACCCAAGGATTACTCCAGCCAGTTCATAATGGAGTACAGTGGAGAGTCAGGGATTAGGAATGAGCAAAAATTTCAGTCCAGCCATGTTGGAGGTTTCTCTTCCCATAATTTACTTTTCAACTTTCCTCAGTTAGCCAAAGGCATTGGAATCCTAGTTATAGCAATGAATAAAAGTGGCTCAAGGCCAGATGCAGTGGCTCATGCCTGTAATCCCAGCACTTTGGGAGGCCAAGGCAGGTGAATCACGAGGTCAGGAGTTCAAGACCAGCCTGGCCAAGATGGTGAAACTCCATCTCTACTAAAAATAGAAAAATTAGTGGGTCGTGATGGTGGGTGCCTGTAATCTCAGCTACTCGGGAGGCTGAGGCAGGAGAATCACTTGAACTCAGGAGGCAGAGGTTGCAGTGAACCAAGATCGCACCGCTGCATTTCAGCCTGAGCAACAGATTGAGACTCTGTCTCAAAAAAAAAAAAAAAAAAAAAAAAAAAAAAAAAGCGGCTCAAGAAAGATAAGGGGGCCAGGAGCAGTGCCTCATGCTTATAATCCCAGGACTTTGGGAGGCTGAAACAAGTGGATCATTTGAGGCCAGGACTTTGAGACCAGCCTGGCCAACATAGTGAAACCTCATCTCTACTAAAAATACAAAAATCAGCCATGCTTGGTGGTGGGTGCCTATAATCCCAGCTGCTTGAGAGGCTGAGACACAAGAATCACTTGAACCCAGGAGGCAGAGGTTGCAGTAAACCAAGATTGCACCACTGCACTCCAGCCTAGTCAACAGAGTAAGACATCTCTCAAAAAAAGAAAAAAGAAAAAGATAAGGAATTTAAAGATGGAGCACTATGCATATTTTCAACAGGTGTTCACTGGGGAAGGGAAAGAAAGTAGAAAACTGATCTTCATATGCCTTGCCACTTCTTGGTTCTAAGTCTGGGCTTTTCTTGCTTTTCTTTTTTTTTTATTTTTTTTTTTTTGTTTTTTGAGATGGTCTTATTCTGTTGCACAAGCTGGAGTGCAGTGGTGCAATCATGGCTCACTATAATCCCAACCTCCCTGGGCTCAAGTGAGCCTCCCACCTCAGCCTCCTGAGCAGCTGGTACTACAGGTGTGTGCCATGACACGCAGCTATTTTTTTAATTTTTTTTAGAGATGGGGTTTCAACACGTGGGCCAGCCTGGTCTCAAATTCCCAGGCTTAAGCAGTCTGACCGCCTCAGCCTCCCAAAGTACTGGGATTACAGTTGTGAGTCAGCATGCCAGGCCTGTCTCTGGAATTTTGAGAGTGAATAGTTTGAGTCAAAAGCTCTTGAGTAAAAAGAAATTGTAGTTAAAGAAAAAAAAAATTGGTTTGTTTGAACAATAAAACCCTCACCGTGCAACTAAATCTATCAAGTAACATTATGCTAAAACTAACTTTCAAGTTTTGATTGAGAGAGCACATCTCAATCCTCCTCCTTGGCCTTCCAAGTCAAACCATGAACCCACCTAATTGGCTGTGGAAGAAAGGAAAAAGAAAAGATACACCCTAACTAAGAAAGAGAGTAATCAATCTACAGTTTTTGCATAAATGTTTTTGCCTTGTTCTATGTGCCCTTTGCTACTCTCAGGAACACAGTTATTGACAAAGTAAAGCAAGTCTCTTTTTCTTTCTTACTTTTTTTTTTTTTTGAAAAGAAATCTTGCTCTGTGGCCCAAGCTAGAATGCAGTGGCGTGATCTTGGCTCACTGCATCCTCTGCTGCCCAGGTTCAAGTGATTCTCCTGCCTCAGCCTCCGAGTAACTGGGATTACAGGCACCTGCCACTGCGCCCAGCTAATTTTTGTGGTATTTTTAGTAGAGATGGAGTTTCACCATCTTGGCCAGGCTGGTCTTGAACTCCTGACCTTGTGATCCACCCGCCTGGGCCTCCCAAAGTGCCGGGATTACAGGTGTGAGCCACTATGACTGGCCACAAGTCTCTTTTTCAATTCACCTTTTAAGGAGATGACTGATTTTTATAAATCCAGTAAACTACCAGTAATTTCATTTTTCATAGTTTAAGTTGCCATCTAGAAGCAGTATAATTGCCCATTAAAAGTTTTCATGGCTAGGTGTGATAGCTCATGCCTCCCAAACCCCAAAGGGACTACAGGCATGAGCCACCACGCCTAGCCATGAAATGCACTTTGAGAGGCCGAAGCAGGCAGATCTCTTGAGCCCAGGAGCTTGGGACCAGCCTGGACAACATGAGGAAATGCCATCTCTACCCCCAAAACATACAAAAATTAGCTGGGCATGGTAATGTGCTTTGTAGTTGCAGCTACTCAGGAGGCTGAGGTGGGGGGATCACTTGAGCCCAAGAGGTTGAGGCTGCAGTGAACTGAGATTACGCGACTGCATTCTAGCCTGGGTGACAGAGTGAGATGCTGTCTCAAAAAAAAAAAGAAAAAAACTTTTCATGTAATCATGTTTTTATCACACATCAGTGATTCATGAGTAAGAGTCGTGAGATAATGTGATCATTCTGAGAGTAGGCCACAGTTCTTGTTGCAAAATGATCTGCTCCATTGGCTTTAGGCGTATTTTTTAAAATCTTACCCCTATCCCACACACTATACCCTTGCTTTTGGTTTCTTGTCTATGTGGAGGCTCTATAGAATTATGCCAGTTCTGCATCTGCATCCCATTTGCCCCCTGCCCATCTAAAGCGGAAAAGTGTAGCCATGTAAATTATCATTTTC